CACATGTATATACACACCCATATATATAATCTTTGCCAAGTTATTTTAAGTCTCTAAGTTCAGGTTTCCTCATATAACAAATATAGACAATGTAATACCCCCTTCATATATACCATTATTTTCATGATAAATGAGATATTCTGTGTAAAACACTTAACATAGCTCCTGCCAAAGGAAAAGAGTTTAGTGAATGGTAGTTTTTATTAAAAATAATAATATAAGAATGAGTGAACTCTATTTCTCAGTTCTTATTAAAAATGAGTTCTCCTCCCTCTCTTTTTATACTTGCTTAATTTGGAACCCAATAGGACATTTGACATACATTAGTACAAATACACATTGACCTTGGCTTTAGACATAGATTTTGTAACTTCTGCCTAGATTCGTAAACCATACTATTACATATTCTGAGGACTCCACCAAGAACTGGCAACATGGTTTGATATAGGAAATAGGATAAGTGTCCTATATGAAATAGGCTATGTCTTCAACATGAAGACAGCAGTGGAGAAGTGATAGTGTGTTATCCAGAAAGAAGAGTAGTGTTGCCTTTAAGGAACACGTGTTTCTTAAAATAAAGGGCAACCCAAGAAACAAAATTTGTAGCTACTAAAAACTGCAAATCAATAGAGAGACAGAAGCTATGTCTGTATTCCGTGTGGTTGGAAAATTCCCAGTCTTCTCAATTAGATAAAAAGATGTGGTACATATATACAATGCAATATTACTTAGCCATAAAAAAGAATGAAATCTTACTATTTGTGACAACATGGATGGACTCAAAAGGAATTATGCTAAGTGAAATAAGTCAAGCAGGGTAAGACAAATACCATATGACTTGACTTATATGTGGAATCCAGAAAGAATAAAAATAAAAATAAACAAACAAAACAGAAACAGACTAATAGATATGGAGAACAAACTGATAGTTGCCAGATGGGAAGGGAGTTAGGGGCATGGGTGAAAAAGGTGAAGGGATTAAGAAGTACAAATTGGTAGTTTTGAAATAGTCAAGGGGTTGTAAAGTACAGCATAGGGAATATAGTCAATGATATTGTAATAACTGTGTATAATGCCAAGTGGGTACTAGCCTTATCAAACTGGGGATGGGGAACACTTTGTAAATTATGTAAATGTCTAACCACTTTGCTATACACCGGAAACTAATATAAAATAATATTGGCTATGAATTCTAATTGAAAATAAATTAAGAAGAAGAAGAAGAAGAAGAAGAAGAAGAAGAAGAAGAAGAAGAAGAAGAAGAAGAAGAAGAAGAAGAAGAAGAAGAAGAAGAAGAAGAAGAAGAAAGATGGGAAGCAGAAGAGGAAGCAGAAGAGGAAAGCAGAAGCAGCAGAAGCAGCAGAAGCAGAAGAGGAGGAGGAGGAGGAGGAGGAGGAGGAGGAGGAGGAGAAGGAGGACGAGGAGGACGAGGAGGACGAGGAGGACGAGGAGAAAAGAAGAAAAGAAGAAGATTCCCAATCTTCTGATTATAGCTTTGCTGCCAGTCAACTGAGTCAATGAAAAACAATGGCCTCAGTGTTAAGGAAACGGTTTTGGTATTGTGTATTTGGGTATGAAGGGAGCAAAATAGAAAAGAGCAAAACAGAAAGGGAAAAAAAATCCTTCATCACAGAATGACCAAAAATGTAAGCCTGGCATAGAGCTAAGGGATAGACACTTCATTCAGATGAGGCAATTGCCATTCCAAAGCTCTGTCTAGTCCCCAAGCAATGACATATCTTCCCCTCTATTCTTTTGATCTTCTCCCACTTCTTCTCTTGTGCCATTTCTCTCTTACATCTCTGCGAGATCTTAAAGTTTACAAGCTAGTTGGGTAAGCAAGGCACATATAAAGTGCAAATATTTATGGTGTACATAAACAAATGCAAATTGAAGTGGCATACAAGATCTAAATACAAAAATGCTGAGAGACCAGAGGCAGTTGGGACCACTTCCTGTTTTCTTTCTGTCTGTTCACACAGCGGTATCTAAATCCTGTCCTCTATTCCCTGAGGGCCTATCTGAGAAGGCATTCTTTTCTCTTTCCAAAGTATTTTGTTCCTGTGTGTATGTTAGTGTTCTGAGGCTGTGGATGAGGGTAGGAATGTAATAAACAGTTTGGTGTTTGCTATTTATTCATTTTCACTTGACAGGATTTCTCTTAGGTTAGGAGCTTTTGAGTTATTCCAAGAAAGTTCTTTGAGTTAAGCCTTGGGTTACTGTAATTGATTTTTCCTTGATGTGAATCTTCTTGGATCCCAAGATGCTTCATATTATAAAATTTTGATGCATTTTAAAATTTGTAATTATCAGGATTCATTATAAGAGTACAATGTGGCTTTAATTTCCCTGATTACAATAAAAGCTTTATATTATAATTGGAAGTTTATACCTTTTGACTATCTTTACCTATTGCCCCAATACTCCCCACACCCAGCCTCTGGCTACCACCAATCTATTCTCTGTATCTATGAGTTCATTTTTATTTTATTATTTTAAATTCCACATATAGGTGAGATCATGTAGTATTCGTGCCTCTCTGTCTTATTTATTTCATTTAGCATAATGTCTTCAAGGTCCATCCATGCTGTCTCAAATGGCAGGATTTCCTTTTTTATGGCTGAATAATATTTTATTGCATATTAGAACATTTTCTTTATCTCTTTATTCACTGATGGAAATTTAGGTTGTTTTCATATCTTGGCTAATACAAATAATGCTGTAATGAACATGAGATGCAGATTTTTTTTTAGATAGTAATTTCATTTTCCTTCAGATATATACCCAGAAGTGTAATTGCTGAATAATATGGTAGCTCTATTTTTAATTTTTTGAGAATCCTCCATTCTGTTTTTCATAGTGGCCATATCAATTTACGTTCTCACCAACAGTCTGCAAAGGCCACCTTTTCTCCATATGCTCATCAACACTTGTTATCTCTTATCTTTTGGATACTTGTCATTCTAACAAGTGTGAGATGATAGCTCATTGTGGATTTGATTTGCATTTCCATGATAATTTGTGTTGCTGAGCACCTTTTCATATGTCTGTTGGCCATTTGTATGCCTTCTTTGAAAAATGTCTATTCAGTTCTGTTGCCCATTTTTAAATCAGATTTTTTTTTGTTATTGAGTTGTATGAGTTCTTTATTTTGGATATTAACCCCTTATATGATATGTATAAGGGGTTATCAAATCAGATATATGATTTGCCAATATTTTCTCACATTCAGTAGGTTGCCTTTTCATTTTGTTGATAAT